GCATGAATCCGAGTTGAAGTAATATTATATCAGTCAACTGTCACAGATTATATTAGTAATGTGAGAGATTTGATAATTATTTGTTAAAAGATTATTTAATAAATAATCACTTGTTGAATCATGTTGTAAAGATCTACAAATAATATCTACTGAATCAAGTATCACCCGTTTAATTTATTCCATCATTTTTAACTAGCTATGTGTTAATACCTGCCATCATATTGTAAATAAAATTATAAAGGCATTAAAAATAAAATATAAATCGACGAATAAAATGTTCCGCAACTCTTTTCAATCGATTCACGTTACATTTTCTTTTCATTATCATTATTATGCAACGCAATTATATTTATTCACGCAACGCAATGTTTAAATGCAATAAAATGAGAATTATTATACAATAGAGAAAACAGTAGAGAAAATTCCAAGAATTGTTCTCCACATGTCACCAAACCATTAGACCTTCGTTCAATTATCGTAACGCAACTAGGCGACAACGACGAGTCAGCGATCGATGTAACAGCCCAGTCAGGACGACTCTAGTTATTTAAATCGCGACGTGCCACAACTGGATCGTGCATGCGATCGAAAGAACCAGTCCGTACGCGTTCGACTAAAATGGTATCAGGCGAAGCACTTCATTAATTACCCCCAGCTTCTTTACTCCTGCCAGTGGTATTAGTTACTTCGACGTGCTAGATCCGTGTTTATACGAAGCTTAGCGGCCTGCTCGAGCGATAATTAATAGCGGCAGACGCGAATGAAATCATCGTAACGTGCCGTGACTGATTGCCGCTGTTAGGGTTAGCCGCGTGTATATCAAGCGTACACCCAGTCGAACCTAGCATCGTTGAGGGGAAGAGGAACGGAAGAGGAGGGAGGAGGATCTGTGTAAGATTAATATTGGTTGCTCACACGATTCACCATAAACGACGACGTCGCCGAGCCACTGGTTCGTTACCCTCTTCTGGTCCTGTGTACTCCGATCGCTAATTACCGCGATCGAGTCGTCCACCGGAAGACGTCCAACCGGATCCGGATCGTTGGACGTAGGACGTAGGACTCGCGAAAAGAGAAAAATGTGGGATGAGCGCGACTCGTCGAGCGAAGTCGGTCTTTCTCTTCTTTTTCTCTCGGTGTGGAAACGACTGAAACATTTTCACGCAAACTTGTACTTTCTTTTTCTTCTTTTAAGTATGGAATTAGAGAAATATATTCGAGTTGCAGTCAATTTTCTAACTGAGAGCAAGGATTTTTATGGTTTCGAGTAGGAAACGGATATTGGAGGACTATCGAACAACACCGAAGTTGCACGAAAGTATAATTTTTTTTTTTTTCAATGAATCTGTATTCCGGATACTTCGCAGAACTTTGCATTTTTGGATTTTTTTTACGAAACAAAATCAAAATAAAAATTTCCACAATTTTAAGCAATGTAAAACACCATCCAGTAGCTCTCTACGCTACGTGGCATACATCTATTGTATTAAAATCCAATTCAGCTGAAAATCTCTAATTCGACTGATAAAAAGCAAAACACTCAATTCTACTATAATCATGAAACCACTCAAAGGTGGTTCTAATTCAATAGCCATTCAATAAAAGAGTAGGTGTAAAATAGAATCAATGAACCGCAAAGTGCCGAAAAGGGGAAATTATACCAAATACCAAAGAGATTATACGTTACAACGTTCGCTCTGCTAGCTATGGTAGAAAATGGTGGACGTATCCTGTGTCGTTTTCGCGTCTTTAGCGGCCGGCGCGCACGGCCGCTGGCTAGAGCTTAATCGGCGGATTAATTATTTATGAGGCGTGTTTCATTCATTCATTAAACCTCGGCCTCGAGATCATTATGACGTGATAATGTCTTAATTAACGATGGTTAATGAATCCCTATCGCGAGAATCATTTCGCTTTATAATGCAGGCGACCGGCGGAGGGCCTCTAAACGGCGAATTAACCCCGCCGGTTAATAAACGAACCGAAGAAGCGCGCGTGCACCGCGTGGATCGCTGCACAGGTTACGACCGTAGACCCGCATGTTTCCCGAACGACCTGCTCGTGGTTAACGCATTTAGCTTCGGGTACCAATCGTGCGATCTACCTCCCCGTAGCCACTCTTTTTTCTCTCTCTCTCTCTCTCTCTCTCTCTTTCTCTTTTCTTTTCTCTTCTATTCATTCTGTGACCTGTCGCACAGCGGTCTACAACGAAGAATTCTCAGTGACATTTTGATATAATCCTTGAACAAAAGTTGTAGCAAATCAACTATCGAAGAAACAATACTTTCTGCAAATATAACATTGTGATTTATATTTTTGGACATGAGTTTGTGTTTTAATATACGTAGGGAGGAATTGTAACCAGTTTAATCCAAAACGTCGAACGTTTGAACAGTAGGACCAGGGTTTTAAAGTCGTTCTAAATGAAAACTGCAAATGAACTTGATTGAATACACTTTAAATAAAAATTTCGAATCTATTATAATCAGTCGAAATGCGATTGATTTGAGTGTGATAATCTCATGATCGACCGAAATAATTCACTTGTTAAAACGTCAAACTTTCCAACACGACATAAGATACATGTACAATAATATATATTGTACAACGTATTGTGAACAAATATGTCAAAAATTATACGTTCAAAGATACACATACTCGTCACGTTGCAAATGTGCCATTAATTCTAATTCTCTATCATCAATTATAGATTTCCAACTTAGAAAAAAAAAAATTGCGCATTTAAGTGTGGGAAATCGAACATCACGAAAAAAATTGTCGATGAAGAAACGGGTCAGAAGATCGCAATTTCGGGATCGAATCGTTGACCCATTAAAGCAAGGAGAACACACACACACACACATTGACCATAATACGTACGTACATGCATGCTCGAGTAAGAACGTGCAACGCGCCGGGTCCTGCAACGCCGTGCGCGAGAGATTATCGCGTACACGAGCCGAGAGCCGAGAGATCGATTAATAAACGTTGCTCCGTCTTTTTTGTCGCTTCCGAGAAATTCATTATTAAACCGCGCTTGTATCTCGATGCGCAATTTGCACGTGACGCGGTCACGTAACGCGGAGCGCCGCGCGCGAGCAAGCACTTTATTTATGGTTTGCTTTAGCTGTTCGTTAATCAAACCGATTGCAACCGAATCGGCTTGCGTGTTCCGAGCTGCTGCCTGGCCGCTACCGTATTTTCAATCGATCCCTCGCCAACACACATCGGCGATCGACTTATCGTTTATCGACGACGATTTTATTTGAAGATTCACGTCCAACTTTCACCACCTAGCCACCAATGAGATACGCTTCAAATCGATATAATTTGACTTGTTTTCAATTTCTCTCTGATGAATTTTAGTAAAATTCTGGTCCTTGTGTAATTTTGAATTGTCGAAACGAGTGTAATCTTTCAAGAAGAACAACATCTTCAATTCTAACGCTTCAATCGTAACATTTATCCGAAATTCATCGCTAGCTTCTAGTTGTTAAAACTGAGCTAGTTTCTTCAGTTGGAGTTAGTTTCTTGTCAATGGTTCCTAAAGTTGGTCGAATCATAGTTCCTTAAGACACGCGGTTCCTAGAGTTATTATTAACCAAATGGAAACTCTCATCTGAAATAATAGAAGAGAGAAAACCGCCGACTCTATTTTGAAAATATTTTCTCGTAACAAATCACATGATATTTCAGTCTGTTTCATCATCAATTACAGTGCCGGAATTGTTCTCAAGTTTACCTGCTCGAAACCATTAAAGCACGGATTACGGAGGTAAACCTTCTTAAGTGAGCCAATATAACGTTAAAATTATAGTATTATATATAATAATACGTTGAATACTATCATTATGATCAGGCTAGTTCTAGATTTGTGCGAGAAAACGTTGGGAACCTGATGGTCGGAACGGGTCCCGAAATTGTCGAAAAAGTCGGGAAACGTAACATTTGTTGATTTCACAAAATCATTATTTCTTTGAGAAAGAGGCATCGACAATTCATTTCACAAAATCAATTTCTTTTTCTTTCTTTTAGAAAAAAAAAAAAAACATTTCTAATTTTCTTCAACTCTTAAACGAGAAAACGTCATTTGAGTTTTTCCCGAAAAATTCCCGAAAAAAGCCTAAAATTCGATGTACTCTCGGAAGCCAGGGAAATAAATTTTTCCAAGCCAGACGTCGCGCACGTCTCGAACGAAAATCCGAGTGCTCAGTTGAGAAACGGCTCGGTCAACAGGTGAAGAACGAACGGGCAACGACTCGTCCAGCGCCGTGCGCCGGATTTATTCGCGGCGGTTTTCGCGCGCGGAAAAGGATCCGGTCTCTCTCGCGAGTTGTCCGAGTTGTTCGTTGACACTTGGCCCCGCGGCGCGGCGCGGCGCGGCGGGGCAAGGCGTGTAAAATCGCGCGAGGACAACAGCCGCTTAATTCAAAACGCGTATTGCGAAAAGTCACGAGCACGTATGCACGTACGTACGTACGTACTTACGTAGTTAGACTCGGCTTCCTGCGTCGTTCCCCCCTTCGATCCTCCTCTCTCCACCGCTCCTCACTCGCGCCGGGTTCGCTCGGAGAGCACGCTTAGTTACGTCTAGATATACCGGAAAATCCGGTATGTGACACGACCTGCCCTTCCCGTTTCGTAAAGTCTCTCTCTTTTTTTTCTTTTTCTTTTTCCTTCTCTTTTCCTTTTTTCGTTCTTCGTCCTGCTCGTCCTTTCGACCGCGAGGAACGCCAACGTAACGCAAACCAGTTTCTCCGCGCGTAACGTACTGGCCACGCCGCTGCCAGCGACGTAACAACCGCGCGAAAATCATATCCGCCGATCGTTCCTGCGATCCACGACGACGATCCGGGGACCGTTAAGGCACGGTTCACACTATTAATCTCATTAGGAATTTAGCTCGCTTCATTCGTTGGGTTGACTGAATGTTATCGTTGTCGGTGTTGTTTAATTTGCACTCGCATATATTGCCGACTGATGTTCATTTTCATTTGCAGGTCGGTGGCGTTTCGATGGATTTATTTTGGACGCAACAACGTCTCGAAAGAGGTTTGAACAATTTTTGCGAAAACTTCTGCGGACACTGAAAATTGAAGTCTCCCCTTCACAAAGACACCTTTTCACAATTTTATTGAATTCTGAACTGTAATTCTGTCAAAGTTCGAGTAAAGTGAAATCTGAAAAGACTGAAAAATTTTGTTCCACCATGGAATTCACCACGATCTTCAAGTTCAGAGCATCCCCTTTTGCAACGAGATTTCAAAACTTGCTGTACAATTCCGTTAAGATTCAAGAAATTCCTAATCTTAAATGTTCAAAGTAATAATAAAATAGTAAGAAAAGAAAAAAAAAAAATTCGCACAGCAAATTTTAAAGACCCGTTGCGAAGAGGAAAATTTACAATCTTCAACGCCACGGTGGATCCAGTCGTGAAAAAAAATTTTTTCAACGTTCTCGCAAACGTTTGAAAGGTATTTTTACTTCCCCGCTCGCTGCACGATGTAAAAACATCATTGAAAAAGAAACAAACTCGGGACTTTCAAGCGTAGAAACTTCACGCTTCGAAACGAGAACCAAATGGATTACTATCTCTTCCTGCGAAGTTACGACAGTTTCAAACATCTGCAAGTTATGTTAATGCTCACTGCTACAGTTACGTACACGCGCATACCAGTTTGTAATTACAAATAAATCGTTGACGTTCCTTTTCAAATGGATACGCGTGTACACGTATCGAAAGCTCGAACGAAGCTTGACCTGTCGATAGTGTGAACCGAGCCTTAAGAGTTCCCACTCGCTGATCGAAATTTATGGATTGTGGAGTCGAGCCTTACGTATCCAAGATCTGTGTACCAACGTACGGGAGTGGACAGCTGATGGAGAAAAACTCGCGTAGCGCGAGGACAAAAAAAAAAAAAAAAAAAAAAAAAAAAAAAAAAAAAAGGAAAAACATCGTAAATCGCATACTCGTTACCAGATAACAAGATTATGATTCGTGGCTGTTAGCTAGCGAGGCAAATAACACGACGACGACTGGAGATCGTGCGGATGCGGGCGTGCAAATAGAGCTTTTACTTCACTGTGTGCACACGTATGAACGTGCATGTTGCTCAAGAATGTATCTGAATGTTCACAACAACTTTTTGAACAGGTATTGCACAACTTAAATAATGATAACTGTGTGCAAAAGTTTCGCTGTGTCGAACATGATTCCTCTGTGAAAAATTTTATAGTCCCTGACTTAAGTCTAGCAAGTTATTGTACACAGTTCGCAAACATCACGAAAGTATTTAATTCCTTGCAATATAATTATCCGTTTACAAATATAGCTACTTGCTAATTTTTATTAAATTATTAGAAATTGTTATATTACAAAATTATTAAATTATTAGAAGAATTATATATTTCCTCCATCAGTTGTCCACTCTCGAATTATACATCATTTTTACTTTATAGTAATTTTTTTCCTACATATACGTCTGCGATAAATATCTTATTAACTTCAATATACATTTTTGAACTCTGATTCATGATAAAAATCGAGTATTGGTAAAATTTCGGACTGTTTTATGTACGTCCGAATTACCTACGATTTAATAATAAAACTTGAAACAAATCTGAAAGTTACAAGGTACAGAATGATATATATTTTGTATATATTAATATATAAAAATACAAGAGTACTTAAACACTGTATTATTTGTACTACGCGCCAAGTTTATGCTCCTATACGCACCTTCAAATTGGTTTCAAATTGTTCCCAATGTAATAATCGCTACGATGTCGAAATTTATAGTGCGCCAGCAGGTCAGTTGAAAATTGAAAATCGTAGACTTTAGGATCCCTTCTTCTCCTATTTTTACCCCCACTTTCTTTCCCGCTTTCGCTTTTTTCCAAAGCGCAACGCGATACAGGTTGCGCCTGTCTTGCGGCACGATTACCATACGATCTGCATATCTTCCTCTTCGCGTCCTCGGTAAAACGATTCTCTCTCTCTCTCTCTCTCTCTCCCTCTTCTCTCTCGTAAGAGCATGTTCAACAATAATATTACGTGTCTCAAAGTCTCGGTAGAGTGTACCTATTTACCGAAAGGCGAATATTTTTCTAAAAAAAAAAAATGTTTCAGAAAAAAAGACGAAAAAGTGATAAAGCTCGGATATTTTTCAAACTCGCACTCCAAAGTGTACATACACACGTAAATAACAGTAGCGTAGCGTCCTCGCTAACCGATAAACACAAGCGGTGCTTCAGATAAAGACGCAACCGAGACCTCTATGGGAACGGAGATAGAGTCGTGGCTGCCTAACGCGGTGTTAATGATATTCCGTTACGGCGGCGATGTAACACAGCGAGCTAGCTGGCGAGTCGGCCGATGCTCGATGTTCGAGAAACGGTGCAATTACGGCAGCCTAACGTTACACATCTAGGCGCCGGCAATTACACGTATCCGCGCGCGCACGCCCGCTTTGAAAGTCAAAGGTAGATATTAGCCGTATGATAATGCGTGACCCGCGCGATGTTTGCGAATCGAAATTACGGCAGGTACGGACCCCGATGCTAATCGATCCTGGTCACGTATGTCAAGGTTAAAATCGACAAACCACGGATGGCGAATGGGGGAGGGTGATGACGATCGTTCTCTGTCGAATATCGCGTTCATCTTCTCAAACATTAATTTCGATTTCAATTTATTTCAATTCGAGTGGGCCCCGATGCCTTTCACACGTTTATTTCTATTGAAACAGAATCGAGATGCAGCGCCCGTGTCAGAACGAAATGTTCGTTGAACAACAGTTTGTTACAATGGAGAAAAAGATATTTAATTGTTACACGTTTAATTTTACGCAACCTTTCGCTTCGTGTAATTGTGGATTTCTATCAGATCTATTGAATTTTTTTTTTTTTTTTTTTTTCAATGATATTAATAAATTTCATATCACAAGTTACTACGTTTATATATCGTAATATAAAAGTTACAACTGTAACATCAGTAATGTTAAATTTTATCCCATTGTAGTCGATAATTTTTAAAACTAGACGACATTAACATTCTACGTTCCTAGCCTTTGTAAGACTGTCGTCTATCTTTACACCTGTCACCTTTCATATCGAATTCTTCATACTTCATATTCCCAGACGACACTGTACATTGAATCTTTGGAGCAACGTAGAATTACACCACGTGAAACTTGTCCTACACCATAAAATTATAAATTTTACAGTAACATAACAACAGAGTTGACAGACCTTGCTTGTTAAACTCGATTAATTTTAACGCGACTTTTCGCTCCGTCGTCAAACATGTACCTGCTTACTTCATACATCTGACTTTGCCAGAATATATCGTACAATAAAACTGAACACGACCTTTTCTTCTACTGTCAGCTACAGTACGAAAGAATTTCACTCGACAAGATCGAATATTTGACTCCTACTTGTCCAATCCACTTTACCCAAACTCCTGCAAACAACGCCTAGCAGGGAGAAATGAATGGGCTCCTATTCGCGCCGACTCCAATTATATAAACTATTTATCCTCCGACAAGTTCGCATAAACGTGTACAGTTTTATCGTACGGCAGAAAGACGTGCAGTCGCGATGGTTGTTTTGCACGCGTTTCGCGTATCGCGAACCGGTTACATTTTTTTTTCCCCTCTCCTGTCTCGCAGTACGTCACACGATTGGATTTTTTTTTTTTTTTTTTCTTCTTCCACATATCGACACGAGTGGAATGCGAGGAAAATTGGACGAGAGCAGAGGATTAGAAATCCGCTTGGGTGGATTAAATCCTTAGAGGAGAGGGCGAAAAGGGAACGGCGAGGGTGAAAACTGAAGATCGTGCTTTTGAGCGTGTGTGACACGTGACACATAGATAATTAATTTCTAGTACGTAACACTTACTGATCGTTTCTTACAAATGCGCCAATTTAGTCGTTAATTATTCACGTATCATTCTCTGATCATTTCTATTATATTTTTCTGTTTCATTTGTATTTCATTCTCTATTTTATTTTACTTCTTTTATCTTCTGTCAATGCGTTTTATTCTTATTGTATTATATTCTTCTTTCGATGTAAGTGAATTTTTTCAACCGTCAAAATGATTCAACAGTTCATTTTCATATTTTTCCTTGGATGTATAGCCACCGTCAATCGCCTCGTCGTTGAACCATTATGGAATCAAACATCTACGTACATAAATTGACTCCGGATGTTAAAAATCTCAATTGGCGACAGAGGATTTTTTAACTGGCAGAGATTTCTCGAATTCGACAAAGTATATATTCACTGTGACAACGACGCGGCGTGTCGTTGAGTTCGACGTTTCGCAATTCCTGCTTGCGAACGCGTAAACGTTAACGTGGATTTGTACACGCGTTTCATCCGTTTCGTTCGTTTTTCACGAATTTTACGAGTCGACGTCTGCCTTTCAAAATCACCTCGTACCTCAGACGCCTTTGCGATTCGACAAATACATACTGGTTTACATACTGGTAGCAGGTTCGCGCGTTTGCGAAGTGAACGGTGCCGGAATGATATTGGTCGGGCGTGTGTGCGCCCGATAGGTGAACTACTGGAGAACACAGGTGTCACTGAAGCTCGTACGCTCGCCGTATCAACGAGGTCTCCTTCCAGCCTGAATTCACCTGGCGGTGATAAAACTCGCCGTTTGAAATTGACGCATGCTGGTCAAAGGTCGTCCAAGTAACAGATAGCCGCTTGGCTGCTCCACGATCCACGCCGATCGCGATAATTCCAACGCTTTGCTTTCAATTTTCAATAAGCGTTAATATACGTTCGCTGTCTTTCTTCTCTTATTTGTATAATCAACGTTGATAAATTCTATCACGTGTGCAATAGAACCAACACGATTTAAAAAAAAAAAAAATCATAGTGTCTATTAACTGCAGGTTATAGAACGCTCGCGAGTTGGACCAGTGAACCTGCTGAACCTGATTCGATTCACTCAGAGCATTGTGAAAGTGTTTGCAAGCCCAGATGGCATGTAGTTTAGATTCGAAAACGAATTTGGGAACATAGTCGTATCAAAATGTCAAATGGTGGAGAACAGACGAAGATGAAGAGCTTGGTTAACATGTGAAATAAAATATGTAAATCTTACGTAATTACTTGTGATAAAAATTCACTTCATTCATGTTCCGTCGGTCTCGGATGATCTTAATCGAGTCAATTATGAAATTAATAATTGATAAGGACAAACTGATCCCTCTCTAAGTTCTTACAAATGAAAGTTTGCGATATAATTTATTTTTAATCGAAAAATTATTACGAATACTATTAGAAATGAAGGAATCGTTACGTTGAAAATATCGATGAATTTTTCCGAATTAATGTTAGCACATAATAGTCTCCTATTAATAGATAATTTAACATATAACAAACATAGTATTTAAGTATTTAATATTACAGAAAAATAGAATATATCCCACCATATTCACAAATTAATTGACATCCAAATCATTGAATCACAGAGATATCTCGTGCAAAGCAATGCCTCGTACACGACACTCTTTCACTCTGCAAGATATCCAAAACACGATGAAGAAGAAGTCTAGACCTTGATTCGACGATTCAGACCTTTCTATCTTTCGTATCGCATACTGTCGATACATAACAAACATTTGCGTTTCAAAACGCGTATGAATAATAATTTCTGTCATTGAAGAGTTCGCAAACGTCGTTCCCAAAGGATTAAGCAGACGCTCGAGTTCAACGGAACGCAAGGTCCGAGACGTCCACCTCACCTGCTCGATTATTCTCTATCTACCTTGCCGATCTTCCCTTCTGCGCGGCTCGCTTTTTGTACACACCGTGTCGGCTAATTAGCCCTCGCCCCGAAATATTATAAATATATCGGGCACGCATATTCCACGCGGCTGTTGCAACGGTTATAAAACGGGGGGCTTTTACACGAGTTCTCAGTCGGAAATGGCACCTGGCGCGACAATCGTCGAGTTAATTTTCGTCGAGGTAGCAGCAGACGACGACGACGATGAACCGCGTTGACCAACTAAAAGGTGAACGTCGGCGCGCGCGCGTGTAAGATCGTCTGAAAATTTTCGATAGTTTCGGGCCCCGTCTCCGGAGGCCTAGCCAATAATTCTTGCCACGTGTGTTCCGACACACGTAAGTGAAAATTAAAACGAACCACCATACCGATGCCGATATCTTCTTGCCCGTCGACGTCCACGTTCGTCGAGAATCAGGGTCAGCGAGATCGGCTTTCTTGCGAGATTTACTGCCGCCGGTAAGATTCCACTAAGAGACTCGCACACGTCGGTCGATCGTCTCGAAGAGAAGAGAACTTATCTCGAGAGAAAGATTCTGCGGCCCTGTTGCGTTTCTAATTTAAAAAGTTTTTTTTTGCTCGGTCGCGGCGCGAAGGATAATGAAAATGATAGCGGGAAGCTTTCGTCGGCAGAGTGGAGAGTACGTCGACGTGAACAGAGTCCTGGAAACGATTGCCTAATTTGAGACCTAACCCAAAGAATCGAACGTCGCGTTCGATGGTTACAAGAAGGAGACGATGATTGTGATTTTTAGACTGCGGATTTTTACGCGTTTCTAGGAATTTCGGCACGATACACGTAGTGGAAGAATGATTACAAGCTAATCAGAGTACTAGTGTTTCCTACAAAACAATAATCCCTTACCTAAAACCCAAGGACGTCGATTTTTATGCACTTGGAGGAAATTTGAAATACAGAATTGCACAAGATACACATGGTGCAAAGAAGCATTTAAAATATATCAATATATTACTAACTAAGAATTAATATTAAATATTATTAATTAAAATATATCGACATAATTGTTAACTATGCAATTTTAATTGAATTTTTCTGACCACCAATATGTAATTACATATTTTCAATCACATATGCGAGAGTATATATTTAGGAAACTAAAAATGAATGAAAGTAATTCATACGTCGCTACATGACACTGAATTGAATTTTCAAATTCGCACGACGCGTAACCACTGTCTTCTTATTCAAAAAAAATCTTCACGTTTCACGTACGTGAACTCGTTCAAAGATCAATTAGGAATTTAACAGCTCGAACAAACCGGACGCGTCAACGTTAAATACGAGAACGATGAAAAGAAAATTATGAATTACACCGGCTGAATTACATTCATTATGAATTACACCAAGGACATTTTATCGGTTGATCAGTCAGCCGGGCGTGTGCACTCTCGCGTACGGAGAGTTTTACCGTGGCTGGAATGAGCCAAGAGCTGTCAAGGATGGCCGCCATCCGTGCTACGCAGCTCGTGTCGCAACTTTCATCCGACTACATCATCCATGCGCGCAGCGCTCGCACGCTTTGTGAAACTTTGCACGTTCGTCGAAATCGTCCAGATTCGAAAAATCTCAGAAGAAAAGAAAAAGAAACGTCACATCCCGATCTGTTCCCAATTCGAGAATATCACACGCTAGAATTAATAACAATTTCCTTGATCGAAGCTAATCTCGATTCTTCTAATTTTGCTCTCTCTCTCTCTCTCTCTCTCTCTCTCTCTCGTTGTTTTCGACGATATCTGAATCTACAGGAACGATTTGTCGCGCCGATTTTTCCGAGAGACCGAAACGTTCGCGATACGAAAAATCTCGCGCGCGCGAAGGTTTTTTCCCTACGGTATGCGCGAGTAGTCAAGGATGTCCAGCACGGTGTGCAAGTTGTCGCTACGTGTCGCAATGTTCATCCGACGACGTCATCGGTGTCCACGAGAGACACCTTAACGAGCGTTCGTTCAGGTCCGCTCGAACGTACGCGGCAGAACTCGTACTTAACGCGCTCGATTGCGTAAATGGGCATAGTACGATCGATCGCGACGACGGGACGACGCGCGATCGGCGCGAAGCAAGACGAAAAGCCTCGCGTGTAGGTACCCGTTCGCTTTTACGTCGTTGCGTCCGAACTGCGACGACTTCGACGACTTTCAGTTGCTTCCAACATCTGCAACAGTCCAGATTTTTCTGAACCGAGCGTGCGTGTTTGATAACTTAACGAACTTTCGGACTGACTTTTGACTAACATTCAAAAATACGTTCTTGAAAAAAAACGTGATTGAGAAACACGAGATCTACGGAATTATTTCACGTATCGAAAGTAGTCTACTATACTTACGAACATTTTACACACCTTTTTTTTTCATATCACATTTCGTAACTTTGTATTTTTATGTTTCTCATAAATGCATAAAAATCCGCTGTCTTCTGGATGGAAATACCAGAATAAAATGGACATTATTAAACTATCTGTTTATTATACAGAACATGAGAATGTACAGAAAGTATTTTTTGCATATTTAATTTCTGGCGCTTAAATCTTTCACTTTATTCCAGAATTCTGTTCTGAAATAAATATGGGATCCATTAAATTTTCAATTGATATTAAATTTCAAGTAACATCCCTTTTACGCTTTCTTGATTAATTAATGGACCTAGTAACAAATTTATTCTTCTTTCAGAAAGAAAAGGAACACGAAGACGAGCAACAGGAATATTCTGCGTCCCTGGTCTTTGCATTTCTCAGTATCGAATTCTTTAGAACAGTAAATAAACGTCATTCCGATATAGCATTGTATGTATATATGTAATGGTACTTTTTTTTATAAGTTAAGGCAACTCCACTCTTTAAAAATGTAGGTTATACAATCTAGTTCGAATGTGATTTTCGATGGGGAATTAGAAGATATAATATACAAAATGGTACATTCTATAATATAATAGATATTTAGATATAATAGATATAATAGATATTTCTCTGAATATCTATTAAACACAGTGTCATAAACTCACCAACATTAAACTACCAATATTCCGAAAAATTGACGACATTTGGACTGTTATAACAAGAAATATCACATAGCGATGAATTTTCTACTTTCACAATTTTTCTGAATTTATTATTCACGAAAAATGTCTTGATATCTAATGAAGACACTGTTCTGAACGTTTCTCAAGAACGCTGAAAAAATTTGCTTCACTCGACCGAATAAACGATGAACCCTCTGAAACTTTCTATGCGACTTTCTTTCGTCAATTCACCGAACTTCGAAATCGAAGAATTTCTACGAAATTTTCCGCCGAATTTTCAGATATATCCGACTGGAAATTTGTTCGGATATATATCCCTGTACAGAATACCGATTCGATGCAACTGCAAGTGTCCCAAATCCCACCGTTAATCGCGACCCAATTGCCCCCCGCGGTTTTCGTGGTTCACCGTTGCCCAAGGCATCTCTCCCAGGAGAGATTATGAGAGCGAAGGTACCTATTCATCGATTGGCAATCGGTCGAACCTCCAGAACGATGTGAAATCACGCGAAACACGAAAAGAAAGAAGCAGAAGCAGAAGCAGAAGAAGAAGAAGAGGGTACAGGTCGGAATTCGAGCTTACGAAACGTTGATGAGGAAACGTGCCAGGGACGAAAGAGCGAAGGGAAAGACTGGATATATCTTCGGATTCCGTTGGTGTCTAGAGGGAACAGAATGCCTGGAAGGCCGACGACATTTCGAGTTGTCGTTACATCATCGACAGAACCAGATCGTCGCAGATACCAGAGA